CAACATTTCAAAGTAACACATTTACCGCACTTAAATTTCATCAAAAATTAACAAAATACAATAAGAACGTCGTGAGTATGTGAGTTATCTCGCATGGCAATACTCTGAAAGTAACCGCACAACTGCGTGTTTTAATTATTTCAATTATTTACTGATTGGCTAATGTTTATTACAAGATTCATGTATAGCATTCTACATAACGAAACAAGATTTAATAATACGTATATACTGTGTAGTACAAAATACTCCAGCCCGTTTTAGTGAGAGGCACACATTTGCGAGTCGAAGAGTACCAAACGTTGTGTGGTAGAAAATATTTTTTGTTTTTTTTGTTTTTTGTTTTATATTGAGAAATATGTTATTTGTTGGAATCTTTAAGACAGTGAGTCACATAGTGTGTTGTTGTAGTGAACATTTCATTGGGATCTTCAAGGCATTGAGTCATGGTGAGTTTTGTTGTAGTGAACATTTCATTGGGATGTTTAAGGCAGTGAGTCTCAGTGACTTTTGTATCAGTGAACATGTTATTGGGATATTGAAGGCTGTGGGCCTATGTGAGCTTTGTTGTAGTGAACATTTCTTTGGGATCTTTAAGTCACAGTGTATTTTGTTGTAGTGAAATTCAGATGCGGATACAGGATTTTGTTATGGGGAGTCCAAACTTTAAAATCGCCAGACTAAGTTATTGATTTTTTTTATATTATAAAAAAACGAATTGATTAAATCTTTCAACATTTTATTGGGATGTTTAAGACAGTAAGTCTCAGTAAGTTTTGTTGTGTTGAACATTTCAATGGGATCTTTAGGACAGTGAGTTTTGTTATAGTGAACATTTTATTAGGACCAGTTTTGCGTTTATTTGCATTAGCTATGTGAAAAAAAAAACATTCTGACATTCACGTACTAAACGTCAACGCATCTTCACTGTACTTTGCAGCAAATCAATCACGCAAAAGTACAAGTTAACGACACACGATAGAATTGTCGAAGTAGAATTGCGTGACAACAAAGACAACTCGTCACATGCCTCGTCTGTTCAATGTGTATTCGTTTCAAACTAAATTTAACTCGTTAGTGATTATTTTGTATTATTTTCATACAGCCTATGGTGGGTTTTCATGACTGGCGTGTAGTATGTTTGTGACGTGACGTCACACACTGCCATGGTTTAGACATTCACTGTATGAATAATGCTTCATGACGTAACGGATGCCACAACATGTGACATTTTGTTACCCAATCACGACACAGTATGTACTAGTATTGTGTGCTACAGTCTATGAATATGCATGAGCAATTGAAACTAATTTTTGTTCAGACGCATTTAGTTTTATTGGCGACTAACGTGTTATGTAACCACAGTTGCATGACCGCATTCTCTGCGTACGGCACGTAATCGTTATTGTACCGCCCTGCTGTGTAACTCCGGTGTCATTCGCCTGTGCCGACGTGTTACAAGGTCATTGTAGTATCAATGAATGATTGAATTGTGTTTTTTTTTCAGCGCAGACAGATATTGTACTCGGAATATTCTTTCATCTCGTTAATGAGTCACCCGGATTCAAACTCGTGTGATGTGATATACGGTCCCCAGAAAGTCAAGACGACTACAAATTCGATATTTGATTTGCGTCGTGGTTATGTTCTACTAAATATTGATGATATATAACATTAATGAATATTCATTATCTACCTCAGCTCCGAATCACGGCAATTAGTTTTGAAATTTTAGACACGCTGTGTAATTGGTTTGGCATCCATGTTTTTTTCTGTAATTACATTCGGAAGACATCAAATAGAATGCGATGCCATTAGACTGCAACGTGCTACTGACCATATACATTCAATAAAGTGTACCACAGCGTGCGTGATGAGATATTATTTTATGTATACAAACATATTATCGCAGTAAACCATTTCAGTTCAAGGAGGCGGCACCGCTCAAAAACGTAGAGATGCTCGTCAATCGTCATATGCAAAATGTTATTTGATTTTGAAAGTGTACTGAATGTTGAGAGATGATACGATAAAAGGTTTGCTTTTTAATGTATTATGTTAATTAATTTGAATACTAATCAATCACGTGTGTGTCATCCGTTTCCCGATTAATGTCGGCATGGCGGTACTGCTAACTGTCGGTTTCACACTGTATATTTGAAAAAATATGTTGGCTCATTTCTTGCAATCTAAAAATACGCATCCAACAAATTACATAACATAAAGAGGAAGGGTTGCCACGTTGACAACATCTGGTCTTTGATAACACACAGCAGTCCGTCGTATGTAATAACCGACGTATTCGAAACCAGCTATAGTGATGCGGCATGGGCAGACAAACTACGTCACGTGTTATATATCAGCAATGCACACACAGCGACGAGGCGTGAATAAAATGAAAGAAACATTGCGATTGAAATGACATCGTTAGTAAATGTTGCGCACGCGCAAAGTATGGGGTTGAATATCCTGTACAGGCGTTGGCTAGCTGTAAAGAGATATACCTTCCTTGTGAGTACAACTCAATGCTTCCAAATCATGATTTAAATAAAACTACGTATTGCAGTTAATCATTATATTCGTGAACAGCTTTCAAAATGCTGCTCGTAAAAAAAAATATAGCAGAACAACAATCCGATTCCGACACACCATGTGATGACCTGTGGCAATATTTAGGCAAACATACATGATTACAAATACAAGCCATCGCCAAATGACAAATAAACTCGTTTACAGTCCCAATGTCTTAAAAGCAATATGTATTACTAGTTGTGTTGTTGAACTCACATTGTTGTCATACATGGAATCATTTAGAGTTTTAGTGCAAAACATATCTTGTTATCTGGGCCATCTTTATCGATGGCATCTAAAGTTTACTTACAATGAAATTAAACTAAAGAATGATAATATCTAGTAGGTACGAGTTTTATCAGATATAATTGACATTAATGATAGAATAGTAGTTTTCGACCTTTTCTTCAATGCTTTTTTTCCCATAAGTCCCAGAAAATGTTTGATTATTTAGAGAGCAAGG